CTTTGTCTCGACACAAAATCCAATACACCTTATCCTAGGTTCGATTTGGTACGTTATGCACTAATTCGTCCTAAGCGGACAAAATTTAGTTATTTGGTACATCATTTTGATGAAATCGGATGAAAATATATATGGAAGCTTTATTTTAATCTGAAACGTCTTCAATCCTATACGCTATGCAATATTTCATGTAAAGCGAACAGACATTTGTACCATTTGCATAAAATCGGACTAAAGTATATATCAGCTATCAGATATATTTAAATCTGAACCGATTTTAAACATAACCAATGCATTCTATACTGAATTCCATACACGCTGCAAAATTTCTTGAATATAGAACAAACATAGACTCCTCAGTGCACAATTTACTTAAAATCGGTCGAGAATATATATGGGAGCTGTATCTAAATCTGAACCTATTTCAACAAAACTTCACGGAGGTCAACTTTTAGTAACTTCAATACGGTATGCAAAATTTTGTGTCGATTGGACAAACATTGATAGTATGGTGCACCATTTACATAAAATCGGAGGAAACTATATATGGGAGCTATATCTAAATCTGAACCGATTCCAACAAAACTTCACATACATCAATCCAGACCTTACTCAGTACGCTGTGCAAAATTCTCAATCGGACAAATATTGGCAGTGTGGTGCTTCATTTACATAAAATCAGACGATTTCAACAAAACTTCACGAACTTCAACCAGCTGTAATTTCAATACGGATGTCAACATGTAGTAACTTTAACACGATATGAAAAATATATATGGGGGCTATATCTAAATCTGAACCGATTCCAACAAAACTTCGCATACATCAATCTGGACCTAATTCAGTACTTCGTGTAAAATTTTGTCTGAATCGGACCAATATTGGGAGTTTGATGCACCATTTACCTAAAATCGGACAAATCTATATATGGGAGCTATATCTAAATCTGAACCGATTTTCTCGAATTTAAATAGGGTTCGTCCTTGAGCTAAATAAGTGACATGTTCCAAATTTCATCCAAATAGAATCATAAATGCGACTTGTACTTTGTTCACAAAAACACATGGACGGACAGATAGACGGGCAGACGGACATGCATAAATCGACTCAGAAAGTGATTATATCAATATTCTCAAAAGGAGCCAAGGGTCTATCTCGATTCCTTTTGCCTGTTACAAACAAATGCACAAAGACATAATACCCTGTACCACAGGGCCGGCACGTCATTTTTATATCATCAGAATACCGAATCAGATCAAGATCAGAGTAGGTCGACGTATATGCCCAGCCTCCAATAACGGTACCTCATTTTCATTGTTTTAATTTTTATATCCTCAGACTTATGGCTAATGAGGGTATATACACATTGATACGGTGAAAATGTGTCTCATCGAAATATTGGCTGTGGACCCCATGTTTTTCTGGACCAAATTTGTTTCAGAAAATTTGGAGTCGATTTACACATGTCCGTCCGTTGTCCGTCTGTCTGGCTGGCTGGTGTGCACGATAATTCTCGAAGATGGGACCCATTGGTCCACTCCTTCTGGTACCTCCTCCACAGAGGGTCAACATTTTTAATATTTATAAATTCAATATGAGGCGAATGGATTGTGCGATTTGAACCAAGCTTTTCACAATCTGTTATCTTTACCAAGTCTAGATCAAGTCCGAAGATGGGACCCATTAGTTCACTCCTTCTGGTAGGTCCCACACAAATGGTCAACATCCTCTGTAAACCATAGGGTGAAGGTATATGTCTGTCGGCAGCACCGACTGACACTTTTCTACATGTTTCTAGCCACATTTTCGAGCATAAATGCATAAAATGTTCATTATAGGTTAAGTTTTAAGTTTAAGTTTTGGTCGGATTATAGATTGTGAGCCAAATTTCCATACAAAAATTGCCAATATTGCTTCAATTTTCTTGGTGCAACCCATATGAGTGTACCTCTCATTTAAAATTATGAATATTAGTTCATGGTTAGATACAGTGAACAATAAGTATATCTCGTTGGTATATCCCATAATAACCTGCCACCACCAGTTGGAAATCAGAAATTCAACAACTTTGTTCTACAAAAAACTGAATTTGAACAAATGGTGCATACCAAAATACTCGTAGAGACTCCCTCTTTCATTTGGTACCATCACTTTGTTCGAGGTTTGCATAGGGGGGCTTCCAGAGCCAGTTTGGTGTCCTGACCACCAGTTGGAAATCAGAAATTCAACAACTTTGTTCTACAAAAAACTGAATTTGAACAAATGGTGGATACCAAAATACTCGTAGAGACTCCCTCTTTCATTTGGTACCATCACTTTGTTCGAGGTTTGCATAGGGGGGCTTCCAGAGCCAGTTTGGTGTCCTGACCACCAGTTGGAAATCAGAAATTCAACAACTTTGTTCTACAAAAAACTGAATTTGAACAAATGGTGGATACCAAAATACTCGTAGAGACTCCCTCTTTCATTTGGTACCATCACTTTGTTCGAGGTTTGCATAGGGGGGCTTCCAGAGCCAGTTTGGTGTCCTGACCACCAGTTGGAAATCAGAAATTCAACAACTTTGTTCTACAAAAAACTGAATTTGAACAAATGGTGGATACCAAAATACTCGTAGAGACTCCCTCTTTCATTTGGTACCATCACTTTGTTCGAGGTTTGCATAGGGGGGCTTCCAGAGCCAGTTTGGTGTCCTGACCACCAGTTGGAAATCAGAAATTCAACAACTTTGTTCTACAAAAAACTGAATTTGAACAAATGGTGCATACCAAAATACTCGTAGAGACTCCCTCTTTCATTTGGTACCATCACTTTGTTCGAGGTTTGTATAGGGAGGCTTCCAGAGCCATTTTTGTGTCCTGACCACCAGTTGGAAATCAGAAATTCAACGACTTTGTTCTACAAAAAACTGAATTTGAACAAATGGTGGATACCAAAATACTCGTAGAGACTCCCTCTTTCATTTGGTACCATCACTTTGTTCGAGGTTTGCATAGGGGGGCTTCCAGAGCCAGTTTGGTGTCCTGACCACCAGTTGGAAATCAGAAATTAAGCAACTTTGTTCTCCAAAAAACTGAATTTGAGCATATGGTGCATACCAAAATACTCGTAGAGACTCCCTCTTTCATTTGGTACCATCACATTGTTCGAGGTTTGTATAGGGAGGCTTCCAGAGCCATTTTTGTGTCCTGACCACCAGTTGGAAATCAGAAATTCAACAACTTTGTTCTACAAAAAACTGAATTTGAACATATGGTGCATACCAAAATACTCGTAGAGACTCCCTCTTTCATTTGGTACCATCACTTTGTTCGAGGTTTGTATAGGGAGGCTTCCAGAGCCATTTTTGTGTCCTGACCACCAGTTGGAAATCAGAAATTCAGGAACTTTGTTCTACAAAAAACTGAATTTGAACAAATGGTGCATACCAAAATACTCGTAGAGACTCCCTCTTTCATTTGGTACCATCACTTTGTTCGAGGTTTGTATAGGGAGGCTTCCAGAGCCATTTTTGTGTCCTGACCACCAGTTGGAAATCAGAAATTCAACAACTTTGTTCTACAAAAAACTGAATTTGAACAAATGGTGAATACCAAAATACTCGTAGAGACTCCCTCTTTCATTTGGTACCATCACTATGTTCGAGGTTTGTATAGGGAGGCTTCCAGAGACGGACTTCTCTCCTGATTCACTGGATTAAAATTTTTGTGATTTAGTAATACTTTAGTTTTAGATTATAATAAAATATGTTTCAAAATGTTCGTATTGTTTATTATTTTTCATTACTAATGAATTATGTTAACATTTTTATTAATAATTTTAAAAAATTATTAATTTATAATATTCTGCGCTATCTCTGTTGGAAAGCACTGTTGATAAAAATAGTATTAAACGTGAAATTGTGATGTTCTGTGTCACCCTGTAATTTCGATAAAAATTTTGTTATCGAAAGTTAGCGATATCGCTAACTTCACGCAGGTCCCATAATATCATAACATCGAACCCGATTTTCAGTTCATCGATTCACTCATGTCGTGATAATCAACGTCGAAAGTGGATAAAAATTGAAATATCAGCATAGTTTTGCCTGTATCATAAATACATATAGTACTCCTAGTAATTCTAGCTTTAGCATACTCACAGAAAGTCAAGGGATTTAGTGATCTACTTTGTTTCGTTTGACGGAAAAAAGGGCATTATTGAAAAGAATGTACAGGTACTCTTTTGAAATATTTTATATATTGGAGATAAGCAATTGTTCGCTGTAACGACAAATTTTTAGAGTTATTTTCATTTTTTTGTTGGAATTAACATCAGCAATTTCTCCATAACTTTATCTAAAAATCTATTATAGCAATTTCATCTCTACATAATTGGTTGTTTATTTGAAAAAAGATTGGGTTAAAAAGAGAAATCTCTTTTTCTTTCTACGAAGTACATCGAAATTATTTTTTTTTGTGGCTTCATTTTATGCTAATTATTTTTGTTGTTGTTATTCTATTTACATTTAAAATCCATTAAAAATTCAATGTTTATAAATAACAACAATCGCGATATCACAATTTGTTGTTGTAAAGTTCATGTGCAAAAAACCGTCAGCCATTCCCAAAAACAATTAAACTATGGCTCGGTGGTTCCCACGTCCATTTAAAGCTTCGATATTTGTTGATTTGGGAATACGAGTAATAATAATTCAAAATTTATCCAAGTATTCGCGTGGAAAGATTTGTGTGTTCTTTGTATTGCTTTAAAAACTATTAGCAATAACCTGAGAACAATAACAACAAAATAATTGTTTTTGTTGTTGTGTAGAGAGATTTAAAGCGATTCTCGGAAAAAAATAATATTATTAAAACAAAAAATAACTCAAAACAAACGAACGAAAGCTTAGCACAGTCGGAGAGTGTTGAGAATATACTCATAGGTATCTCTTGGCCAGATTTAAAATCGAATTGTGGGCTAATATTGAAATTTTAACCGGCCTTACAAAATAGTTCAATATGAAACCGTTTAGCGAAACATTGTTCGGTCGTTGCTGGGCTAAATTGACAAGACGACAAGAATTCAATTTAAATAATGCGGAACGCAGAGAAGAACCCGCCGTGGCCGTAGAACCTAAACGTAATGAAAACAAATAAGCTATAAAATTAAAAAAAGTAATTTTTGATAGTTGTGGGTGCTAATCGGAAATTGAAATAAAAATGTCTAAATTAAGTAATTCGAAAAAATCGGTTAAATGATAAAGTTGTAAAGAGCTTTATTTACCAAAATTTTATTAAATATTAGAAAATAGTGAAATGAAAATAATAAAATCACAGTGTCTACATTAATGAAACGAAACAAACGACTTCGTATTGAAAATATAATATTTATATTTAAAAGTGAACTGGATTGTGAAAATATGAATGGATCTGCATAAAGTGTCAAAATTACAATGTGGAATTTATGAAAAAAGTTTTCGATATAACCGCATTCAACAAAAAAATGCAAAACTTGTCAAATATCAAATTCGTGTACTTTTGTTATATACAGAAGTCCTCGTTAACGGGATTTGTTGAACTTTCCCGAAGTGATTCGGAAATATATTTCTGGCTTCCTTCCGTTTAGAGACTATTTACTTATTCGGAGAATATTTGTTCTAATATTATGGGAATTTTCGTATATTTGATGTTCAATGTCTATCAATTCCTCTATTCCGCTTTTTGAGGGTATAGCGTATGAAACCGGTTTAAATAGTCGTTGATTTGGCCGACGTGGCCATGGTATCATAGTTCTTGTTCTAAAAATGTTATTATTAAGAGACTTGGTTGTTAGACTTCATATTACATTAATATAGAGAAAAAATAGCAGGGAAATGGAGTTTCATAAAAAAAATAAGGAACAACCTTGTTGAGTTCGACGGGGGCGATTTTTGCTACCCTCTGCCGCGAGGTAGATATTCAAAATATCTTAAATTTATCAGGACATTTATATAGGGCAATGTCGTGGTAAATGTGTTATTATATTGGTTAAAACATGACTAGGACCTTCAACATACCGAAAATATATTATTACAATCAATTTTGTTGATGACATTTGTTTATGAAATTCTCAAACTACCGAAAATTGTGGGGCTATACCAAAACGTAGAACGATATTGACCTTTTTTGTAAGAAGATTTAATCACAATCAAATTAGAGCCAATCCGAGGATACTGTAATATAATAGGGCTACTTCAAAGCTTGTGCCAATATTGATAATTTTTTGGAGAGATATTTTCAAGCCAATGAGAAATTTTAAGCTAAAATATAGAATTGCAGACAATTTGGTTGAAGAAAGTCCATAAAAAATTCCGAAAATTGGTAAGTGATTCCCTAAAAAGCGGACCAATATCGATCATTGTTGGTAGAAAGATTTTCTACTCAATAAGAACTAAAAATACCAAAGCCTATTCAGTTAAAACCATATCCTAAATACTAGACAGTAGGTGTAATATTATATGGGGGCCATATCAAAACATGGCCCGATATACACCATCTAGTAATAGTAGCAACTTATATGCACAATTGCAAAGCTCTACCCGGAATATTGCCGTCTCTATCTTGATTTCAATAGACTGAAATGACTAAATCGACATAGAATTTAATTTTGAATAAGAATATACACTGGTGGCCAAAACTAAAATTGGGTAAGGATCTGATGATTGTGATGGCCATTATAAAAGCCTGAGTTTTGACACCCGCAACCAATCTTTGACATGTTTTGGTGTATGTTTGGGGGTTGGTTAGAAATCGATTTAGCTTGATTGTGTGTGTGTTATTAATGGTCATAATGAAAATACAAAAAATTGGGCTTTTAACAGAAATAAAAAAATTATAAATAAATTTATAAATTTATACCCCAGAGGGACATAAATAATAAAATAGGAAATGTGTGCTCAAGATATGAACCATTTTTCTATTAGTTCCGTTCGAACAGCTAGAAGTTTTTCGCTTTTTATACTGTGAAAACGTTCTTCGAAGTTTTACAGCATTGTCCTCATGATTTAAACACAAACCGGAACCCACTAGCTGCTTTTAGCACACCTGTGCCTGTCAGCAGATTAAGATTCTACATCGATATACACAATTGACCGATTTATGGTATTTTGGAGATTTTGGGCAGTAATCTGATATTCTGGGTAGTAAATTGCCCTACCAAAAGTTATCAAGATATGTGTTCCTGAACCAGGAAGAATGTAAATTTTTTTACTACGATAACAGTTTTTCCTCTATGATATCGAAAAACCTGTAAGGAAAATAGTAAAGTCGGACTGGACCGACTATATGATACCCTTCACCACTATGGGTATATTAAAAAGATGCATCCTAACAGAAAAGCCATTAACATTAAATTGGATGAACAAAAAAGCTATATCTAAATCTGGACGGATTCCAACAAAACCATTTATTTAAAATCGTAAGAAAATATATATGGGAGCGATATCTAAATCTGAACCGATTTCCACGAAACATAACACACATCATTCTAGACTCAATGCAGTACGCTATGCCAAATTTCGTTCAAATCGGAAGCTAGATAGGGATTTTGGTACATCATTTACATTTAATCGGATGAAAATATATATGGGAGCTATATATAAATCTGAACCGATTTTTCCCAATTTCAATTTCAAATAGACGAGCTGTGCTAAATTTCATCCAATTCAGATCATAAATGCGACCCGTACTTTGTTTACAATTTAACATGGAGAGATGGACGGGCGGGTGGACGGACATGGATACCACAGATGGTGATTTGAGATTTGGTACATACATTGATACACCCCTAAGATGTTTGGCATTATAAACGACCACTTTATGGAATATCCACATTTAATGATACCACCTAATTTGAGGTACTTCGAAGATCGTTTACATCTTTAGACATTAAGTACATATAAAGGTCCCGCCAATTTTAAGAATTTTGAAGGTCTGGAAAATTTCGAAAAAAATAATAACCAATGTTTTCCCTTCAGCCAAAGGAGATGAGGCATTGCCGATGAAACATGATTCCGATGCTACAAATGGCGATGTTGGTCTTCAGATCGGCCAAAACTATACCATGCCGAAGCAGAAAAATTTGCTAGTACGACGATTCTATATATTATCGTGGATTGGTAGCTATGATCGTGAAAAGGCAGTAGCAGATTTAATTGCTGGCATCACCTTGGGTATGACAATTATACCGCAAAGTATAGCCTATGCAGCGCTGGCAGGACTCTCATCGGAATATGGTTTATATTCGGCATTTATAGGTAAATATTTAAAAAAGAAAAAAAAAATACATTTTCATATATTAAATTTGTGTGCGTTTTTGTTTTAGGTTCAATTATTTATGTATTCTTCGGAACAATACCTCAAGTGTCTATCGGTCCGACAAGTTTAATGGCTCTCTTAGTGTTGCAGTTCTGTGCGGATAAACCTGTGGAATTTGTTATTGTTTTAGCATTTATGGCGGGGCTGTTTGAATTCCTTATGGGCGTATTTCAGTTGGGTAAGTGAATCGCTTCCAAATTAATATTTTGATGTGTTGGAGATTTTTGTTCCCAAACAAACGAATTCATATGAGACAAATTTTGTTTACAAGCAATGCTCTTTTATTCCACTATTTCGAGTCGATCTAAATTTTTACAAATGATGGTTTGACAAACCTGTATGTTTGTTTGCTTGTTTTCTTGGTTTGACAAACCTGTATGTTTGTTTTTTTTTCTTGCGAAATCTTGCAATACTCGTGGCAGAGTCTTGCGAATTATTTATTACTGTCACTTGATTTTAGCTTGTTAATAGTCTTTCGATTTGCATTTTAATCAAAGCTAAACTTTTGCTGCAGTGTTCCGCTTGAGCTGCAGAAAATCATTAGCATTAATTTGGATTTTTACCAAAAATCCCCTATTTCTTTCAAAAAATATTTATTTTTAATATTTAAATATATTTATTTATTTGACAGATGAATGTTGTTGGTTATTCTTAGAAATGAATTGTTGAGTTTATTTGCGGTTAAAATTCACTTCCATTAAATTATTAAATCATCTCACATATTTCGGGTTATTAATAATAATATGTTTGGTGTTTTTTTTATTTTGAAAATAAATATTGTTTATCATTTTGTTGAATTGCTATATTAGTTAGGCAAATAAGTACACGCACACACCGTGAGAAACATATTTAAAAAGTCTATGTACATAAAGGGAAAGGTTAAACAAAACTGGCGTCAACCTCAAGTGACACGTGATTTTAATAAATTTGTAGTAGGTGTCGTTAAGGTGTTCCGGGTGAGGAAGTTTTTATAGATATAGATACTGATTCAACAATTTTAAATTCAATATTATAAGAGTAGGAAAAATTATTATTTGTTTGAGATTTTATATCTTATTATGAATTGTGAGGGTATTATATATATGTGTGGCCCCAACACTACGCCACAAAATTGAGCTCATGGTATAGGGGGAGGAGAAACCCCATGGTTTCATAAGAAAGATATGTACATTAAACGGGTTGGTTAAAACCGGTTTTAATATTCGAAAATTTACGGATGCAATTTCATGTGCAATTTCGGTTTCGTAGATTCCGTTCAGGAATTTTTGATGCTAAAGATGATCTTCACACTGGTAGGCCGGTCTTCGGAAATGTCGATAAAATCGGAGCAATAATAGAAGTTGATCGGGATGTTAGCAATCGTAACATCAGGAGATAAAATAAAAAAGACAAGTAATAAAGTGTTAGTCGGTGTTGCCGACAGATATGGCACCGTACAATTATAAAAGGTAACAGCAAATCCCAGCTGATTTGATTCCAACGTAATACTAGTGTCAATATGAATTTGACAAATTATGTTTTTAAAAATCACCCAACAGGAAAATTGGGAACGCATACAATTGTTCTTTATTAAATGTGCTCCTGTATTCAATTTACTCAATCCGCCTGCTGGGAAAGTTTGAGGAAGCAAATCTTTCTTCAAGGAATAACTCGCTATTCCCAGCATTTTCATATGTGTTAATAGATAGATGTGGAATAGATAGAAATATAAAATTGATAGATTTTAATTCATGTTTTTTAATTTGATAATAATTTGTTTGTTTGTTTACATTTTTTTGTCAAATGAGTTGACACTAGTAGAACTTACAACAACAAATTTCCATGTGGTTGTTGTATCGTTTTTTGTACAACAACACTTGCTGTTACCTTCTATTATTATACCATGACCCTATGGTTTGGTATTCAAAGTTATACACAGGCTTTATTATTCGTTCTACATAAGGTATATGTTTAATTAAAGATGTTTCGGATTTAATGTTGCTCAAATACATACTATTGACCCTTTTTGTATGATGTACCAGAGGAGAGGGCAGACGGGTCCCACCTTCGAACTTGATCTAGGCTTGGTAAAGATAATAGGTTCTGTAAAATTTGGTTCAAATCGGGCATACCATTCACTTAATATTGTATTTATAAATATTGAATTTTGACCATTTGTGGGGGAATAACAGGAGTGCACCAATAGGTCAAGCCTTAAAACATTATCAATTCTTGGTTATGATAATAGGTTGTGCAAAGTCTTCTGGCCATGGAATTAAACCACTTCCAAAAAAAGACATATATAGAGGGCCTGTGAGGATTAGCTATATACAGAAGGCCTGTGAAGGATTTTCTATATACAGAAGGCCTGTGGAGGATCTTTCAAATACAGAAAACCTGCGAAGGTTCGTCTGTATATAGAAAACATGCAGAGGGTCTTCTATATATGAAAGGCATGCAACGAATATTCCAATTAAACTTATAAGGTGTCTTCGGTATATTGAAGGTTTTAAAGTAGGGTTTCCATCTATATAGGATCCTTTCGGGTTATTCTAATAAAAATCTGTAAAGAATATTCTAGATACATAAGTTCTCTTGATGAATTTATATATAGTCATTTTGTAATGGGCCTTCTACATATAGAGGGCCTTAATAGGTGTTCCATATATTGATGACCTGAATGGCCTTATGTATGTGGAAGTCCTGTTAAAAGTTTATTAACTAACATAAACCGGACTACTTCCAGTACTAATTCAATCCAATTTTCAATTCCTCTATTTTTTCTAACAGGTTTCATAGTGAACTTTATACCATCGCCTGTAACGAAAGCCTTTACCTCCGGTACAGCTTTAATTGTGGCCTTAGTTCAAGTGAAAACTCTATTCGGTGTTCGAATCAAGGGAATACCTACACCGGCAGAATTTTGGAATAACATTAAAGTTCCCGATGCCATTGTGGGAGTTATATGCCTAGTTGTGTTGTTGCTTTTAAGGGTAAGTACAGAACACTCTCTGCCAAAGGGAAGCATTAATAAAGATATTACCCCCTCTTCAGCAATTATCCAGCGTTGAGTTCAAAAAGAAGACCGACTCAACCCGTCGCATTAAAAAGTTACTGTGGTACATTAGCATTTCTCGCAATGCTTTGGTTGTCTTTACACTGAGTTTTATTGCGTACCTTTGGATTCAGAAGAGCTCTTTCGAGGCTATACCATTTTCGCTGTCCTCTAAAGTTAGCTCTGGTTTGCCACAATTTAAACTGCCACCTTTCTCCTTTGAAAGTGGCAATCGTACTTATGGATTTTTGGACATTTGTTCTGAATTGGGTAGCGGTCTGGGTGTCGTGCCTATTGTTGCGGTGCTGGCTAATGTGGCTATTGCCAAGGCTTTTGGTAAGTTTGGAAGATTTTTTTTGAGATATAAATTGTTATTGATTTTCATTTTGTATTTTTAGTTAAGGACAGCCAATTGGATGCTTCTCAAGAAATGTTGACATTGGGCCTGTGCAATTTGGCTGGTTCGTTCTTTAGTGCCATGCCCACCTGTGGTGCTTTTACACGTTCTGCTGTCAGTCAGGCTAGTGGTGTGAGAACCCCAATGGCTGGTATTTATACGGGTAAGTTTTGAGATCAAGAATATCAAAAGATGAACTGTAGCGGTTTGGTAAAGAACTTGTAATGGAACGTCTATATAAAGAAGACCTTTGTAGGGTCTTTTATATGCAGAAGGCCTTCGAAGGGTCTTCTTTATACAGAAGATCTGTGAGGGGCCCTCTATATATAGATGGCCTGTACATGTTCTCCTGAATATAGAATTACTGGGATGTGTCTTCTATAAATAGAAGGTATGTGAAAGTTATTCTATATATAGAAGGGCTGTGAAGGATATTTCCCATATAGAAGACCTTTAAAGTGTCTATTATATACGGAATGAAAGTTAAGAAGCTTCTTCCATGTTCTCCTGTAAATAGAGGGAATGTGAAGGATAGTCTGTATATAAAAAGACTATAAAATGCCTGTGAAAGTTCTTGTATTTTTATTTGTTTTTTACTTCTTGTAGGTATTATCGTGTTCTCTGCATTGTCCATTCTTACACCATATTTCCAGTATATTCCGAAATCCTCACTGTCAGCCGTGCTCATAGCTGCTGTGATATTTATGGTAAGTTTAAATAACAACAATTATACCTCAGAAGTTATTATAAATCCCATTCTATTTGCAGGTTGATTTCAGTCCCGTCAAAACCCTTTGGAAGAATAATAAAAAAGATTTCTTCAGCTGGACTGGTTGTCTGTTGGTGTGTTTGATTGCCGGTGTCGAAGTTGGTCTTCTATATGGCATTTTACTTAATATGATTTTTGTGTTATTAAGATTGGGTAATCCCAAGGTGGAAGTTAATCTGAAACAGGTGAGTTTCAAGGGGAAGGCTTATAAAAAACAACAACAATATATAATAACAATTTGCGTGTTTTTTCCTTGCAGTGTGACACCGTCGCCTATGTTCATGTGAAACCATTGTCAGATGTTTACTTTTCCGGTGTCGATTCGATACGCACCGAAATACGTTCCGCCTGCATTTTATATCGTTACGATTTCCCCATCGTATTAGATTGTTCCCGATTTATGCTGTTCGATGCCACGTTCATTGAAATGCTCACCGCTGTGGCCAAAGAAATCGCTGAGCAAAAACAAATGTTCATTTTGCAGTCGTTAAGTGAAAAATATAAATCTCTTTTGCCCGCCGATAATTCGAATATTCATTATGCCATGAATCCATTAACAATGGATGATTTTCTGGTGCCGGAGAAAAAAGCCAATGGAAATGGTGCATTAATGGCTTAATTTAGATAGTTGTAATTTAAGTACTGATAGAATATTTTATTTAATGATATAATATTTGTATATAAAAGTTACATTGACTGTAACAAATATTGTATTTACATACATAGTTATGTATGTAGATATGAAACACTTAAATAATGTAGTATTATAGTTTTGATGAAGCTCCTATTGTTTTTGTTAATATATTTTTAAGAAATAAATAAATAACATTATTTAAATAATTATTTCTCATTATTTTGAATTTATAAAACGATTTGAAGATTTTTGGAGCCCACGTGAGTTCATGCTTATATTTACTAGCCTTCAAATTAACTGAGATACGAATTTCTTGACACCTACATACAGTGAGCCACAGTCAAAAGTATCCAATTGTTTTTTTATAATATAAGTGCTATAAGCGCATGTTAATCGATGAATTAAATTTTATTCTTAGTTATATAAGAACTTGAACATCAAAAGCAATTGTAGCTTCACATCTTATACTGCTTTCTACCTTACCGGTATAGATTTTATCGAGTTTTCTGTAAGTACCCGTAAAGAATTTCTAGAAATAAGTAATGAACTTAATACCCTAACGGAAAGGTTAACGAAATATACAAACCTATTTGAAAATTATTAATCCCTTCGAAAAAGAAAGAAACCAAACCAAATACAATTTTATTCGCCGCTAAATTCATCATGATCACCACATTTATTGACTACCCCAAATACTCCGACCCCAATTTAAAAGTTGTTGAACCCAAGAAAACTGTATTTGCAGCAGAAACTTCGAAAGATGATATTAATGCCTACATTAAAAATAAATTAGGCTCCGATATTGAGATTAAAGTCTTTAAAGATATGCAGAACAACGTAGTAAAGCGTCGTTTAAGATAATTGTCCCCAAAAATATTTTCGAAATTATAATAAACTAGCTGAACCCGTGGCGCTTCGCTGCCCATACTAAAGTTATTAACATTGGATAGTTAACGTCGAAAACTATTTGTAGGTATTTCGTAGTGTAATATCAGTAATAATTTCGTAGCAGCCGGTCTATGTATAAGTATATTTGATTCTATTCAATAGATTACAAATACATTTTTACATAATCTTTGAATAACGGTGGTTGTATTAAAAAAATAAATTAGCTTGATTTTTCTAATCAATTGTAATAGTACCATGTGCATGGTACTATTACAATTGATTAAATATATTTTCTTTAATATTCACATGTTTTTCATTATTCGTTCCAAGACCACTAAAATCCTTCATTTACATTACATCAATTTTTATGCCTGTATTCTCAACTATTTCCCCATGATATGATTGGGATCCCTTTCTCACTCCGATTATTATATGACGTATGATCCTTGTTAAGTTTGAGACGTATGATTATTATATGACGTATGATCGTTGTTAAGTTTGAGTTGTGTATTTTTAATTGTTTCATTGCCATGAAAAATTCACAATAATGCATTATCACATCATATTATTTTTACCGAACCTAGATATATATAGTACTGTTATTCTTAAGAAAAAGTCCGAAGATAGGATTTGTAGCATTTGAGATAGTCATTTCCTCTATACATCCTCGAAATATATCAGCTATAATGAGAAGCCACCACAGATTTCGGACTTTTATAACTTTTATTCCACAATCAGCATTTCAGTTTTGGATATCTCCCATATTGAATTCATAGTCTTTTTCTTCAATGGTGTTTGATTTTTTAAAATTAAAAAAAATTCAATTTTTTTCACAAATTGACAAAATGTAAAAATTAGAATGTCAATTTTTTTTCATTTTACATGCATTTTATTCCAATATGTAGATAATGGAGAGATGAAAAACAGCAGACGTTAGCGGAATTACTGAACTGGTGGTTTTTATCATTACTGATAATAACATAAAAGGACTAAAAATGAGTAGTCGAACATTATCCATTTGGACCAATTTTGTTAATTCCTGGTCACTTAAGAATAGTATGTAATTATCTGCGTATCATACAAATTTGTATGAGTCGATTTATTTAAGAAAATCCAATATATGCATAGAAAATGAATATTAGTTCAGAGGTATGATTACTGTTGATGCTATAATTCATCGTCATCGCGGAATTTTCGAAGTTTATCTTGCCTATCTTACTTACATGGGTTGGCATGACTTACTGCGAAAATTTCAGTAAAATCTATTTAGCGGTTTTTGTGCCAAGAACCAAAAGAGTTTCCATTTTTTGCATTTAGATTAATTAAATGCAGTGAGGAGTACATTTTCCCCTATTGTACCACGCCAATTTTTATAGGGATGATGCGTATTTGCTACCAAGTTACTCAGATATAAGATATAAGCTTAGAAAATGAATATTAGTTCAGATGTATAATTACTTTCGATGCGATAAAAATCTCAATAAAATCTGTTCAACGGTTTTTGAATCTAGAAACAAAACATTTTTTTATTTCCCACATGTAGATTATTTAAATGTAACGGAAAGTGCATTTCCAAGGATCTTATCTCGCTCATATTTTTACAGATAAATTTTGAAGGCGTTATCTGTAACCATTCTTAAGATAAACGCATATTACATGTTCAGAAAATTTGAGGTATGTTTGCTATTGATGCTATAACTCCGCATCCACGTGGAATTTTAAAAGTTTATATAGCCTATATTACTTTCAGGGCATGCCCCGATATACAGTGTAAATCTTATTTAGATCTGTTCAGCGGTTTTGGCGTCTATCGGTAACATACACACAAACAAACAAACAAATTTTTTTCTATTTTATATATATATATATATATATAGAAGATAGATGCAAAGTTGTGGCCTCCCAAAGCCATCATTCATGAATATGTATAAAGGAATGTTGCAAAGACAGATATTATATATTTACCAAACACCAATTCAAAAAGCTAAATACGAAGCCTGCTGTCGATTTTGTTAATGTTGCATACCAGAATGTAAGAGGATTAGATATCAAATTATCAGCCTTACTCATCCCCTTGTATGACTATATGTCGCAGTATCCTTTGTCAACTCTTTCCTCTAAATCATCAGCTGAACAAATAGAGTCAATGACATATGCTGTCTCTCTCGTACTAACTACTCTAATTTAAATTCCTTTTTGAGTTCTATTGACTGGACACAACTTTAATCATTAGGCTTCTTAGAAGAAATGTTAAAAATGTTTTATTCCATCCTAAAAAATGCTATTTCTAAAACTCGTGGAATTCAGTTACATTGTCAACATTAAAAAACAAAAAGAACAAATTATATATAAATGAAAAAAAGTGGCACGTTCTCTGACTTCGCTAATTATTCCAGCATTAGGTCAAAATACACAATCTTAAACAAACAGCAATATAAGAAATATATTAATATAATTAAGAGTGAATTAGTAACTAACCCGAAATCGTTTTATAGTTTCACTATCAAAAGCGGCGATCTGACGACTTTCGTTATCCGTAAACAAAACATTTCAGAGATTTTATGGCTTCTAATATTTTTCTCCAAAATACTCCATAGTTCTCTAACGATCTGGGACATGTGTTTGGGGATTTTCCTAGTTCAGCATGCTGAAGAACTAATTTTCTCTCGGCAATCGTTGCGTGGCGTTCTGAAGTGAACATCTTCTTTAGTAAACCATCCATCAGATATCATTTACTTTTACTGATATAATCATTTGGTTCATTTTATACCCTTCACACCCTGGTCAAGTTTTTTTAAGTCGGTTCAGATTTAGATAAAGCTCCAATATATATTTTCATCTGATTTTATCTAAATGTTGCACCATAGAGTTGGTCGATTGGAATGATTTAAGTCGGTTCACATATAGATACAAATCATATATTCAAGTTCATCCAATTTAATGACAATGGTCCTTCAAAAATGTGACGTCTGTTAGGATGCATCTGTTAAATATACCCAAAAGTGGTGAAGGTTATCACATAGCCAGCCCGTTCGAATTTACTACTTTTCTTATCGGTTTGTTTTTCCATTGGTCATCAGAAATCATTTGCCTGTAATGTTGTCTACGATATTACCAGTTTCTTCGTTGTTTATCCGAGAATTTCATTATTCTCACTTCTGCAAGAGACAATGAGGACAGAACCTGTATTATTATGATCTCTCAGACGAAGGGTCCTAGGTCAATCAATAAAAACCATTTGAGTAACAAAAGTTTCCACGGTCTGCAAGTGTTCTGTTGCCTGGTACCACTCGTTTATAGCATTAAGTCTTAAAGCTGCGACATCCACTTCATATTTTATTTGAATGCCGATTCGATGCTTATATCATGTATTCGCCTTTGTTAGAATTGGTCTAATAACGCTCTTTTAGATTTAAACATTATTCAGAGTTTACGGCTCTTCTACAGAAACCAGCAATTTTTGCTCTTTATCATGGTGTCGATGGTCCGTTCTATAGTTTTGAATAGAAATGCAGTTAGGTTCATTGGTCGGTAAGACTTTGATGTTGCGTAGTGTGCCTTGCCTGACTTGGATATAAAACTACCCTGACATCCTGTCAGGCTTTGAGAGTATACGCGAAATGTATTATGGGTTGCACCATACATATATACATTCTGAAAATGGTGAAAGATATAGTAATAGCTACCTTCCGACATTGGGTCGTTTCTCATCCCACATTCAGATATGTAAGTTTTGAAACATAGTTAATAGATCAAAAAATATTTATGTATTATGATTTGTCATTCAAAATATTGAAGATGTTTTCAAAAATATCATCGTCGTCATTTCCGTTCACATTGCGGTTTAAAAGTATATATGGAACAGTGTATTGTTTACTTATTGCAAATATTATTTGTCATTATATTCAGTCTCGCTGCGTGCCAAACCAATTCAGGGTATTCTACCTCTACAGACATCACATTATTGCTAATATACTACACATAGTGACTATCAAAACAATAGCACTATAATAATAGCACTATAATAATTTGGTAATCTCTCTAATTGTAGTATAAATCCTAATGCTGTATAAGTCTTATAGGTGGCAAGGGAGATA